TAGGGCCACGTCTCATTTGCAATAAAGCCAATGGGGAGCATGTCCCTGATACGCTGCTCTCTGTCCAGGTCCCCCCACAGGCTGCAGAGCACACTCTGAGGTGACAAGGTGCCAGTTTGCAGGCGCCATATGGCTTTGGTTGTAGGTGTGCACATCTCTCATCTTCCCCCACACTATGTCCTTCTGGAAGCAACGAGGTTGCCAACCAACCTCGAGAGGGAGGCTCATGACTGAAGAGAGAACGGACTGGAAACTAGAGCAGACTCTGTGCTAGATGAAATCAGGGTGGCCCTTCTCTTTGCTGCATTCGCAGCTACCCCTTAGTGTACTTTGCCCTCACGAGAACCCCTCCAACATCTCCCCGCTCTTCCAAGTCCGGTGACAGTGAGAGCAAAGGGATAGCTCTGTAGATCTCCGGAGAAGAGGAGACCCCCGGGGCCATCTCTGGACTAACCCGAACCATGAAAATCCCATCCGTGATTCCTGCCTGGCTCTGGCTGAGAGAGAGCTAGCACTGCTGCTTCGATTTCTGGGAGGATCTGACACCAACGGTGATGAAACCCAGTGCAAGAATGAGGATGAATAGGCCGAGGTAGGTGTGACCCAAAGGACAGCGTGGCCTTTTGCATCTTAATTTGCCCGGCTGTGAGATGGGAATAATAGCGCTTGCAATGACTGTGTAAGAATCCCGCAGTGCTTTGAAGATGGGAAGTGATGAGTGCCGTGACTCCGTCCTCCCAAGAAAAGCTCAGCCCAGCCTTGGGAGATTCATCAGTCCATATTGCTCACTTCCTGATGCTTTTTTTCCCCAAGGGAAATCTGTGACACAGAAAGTCCAGTTCAGAACACACTCAGCTGCCTGGCATGGAGCCGCGGCACCGTGCCTGCCTTTACAAATGTCACAGGTATGACAATAAGGCTCAAGCACCAGCTGTTGGTCATTGCTAGCGTGGTGAGTCAGTTGTGCTGCCCCAGGGATTACAGCCCCGGGCGAAGGATCGGTGCACTGCTGCGCTGGGCGCTGCACAAACACCCCAGGGACAGCTCCTGCCCTAAAGGCTGCACAGTCTCAGACCAGAGGCACGGGAATGATGGGACAGCGATGGGTTGGGCGGAGGAGCTGCTGGGTAGGGCTGTGTGAGGCTTTGGACCGTGCTTCAGATCCAGAGAAGCTTTGGACGCTTTGGCATCTGGGCCGAAGCACTGCCTCGTTCGGCTTCCCAAACCGCTTTGGAAAAGCTTCGGAGCCGCCTCGGAGATGCGGCCATAGGTTACGACGGGGAATCAATGAAATATCTATAATGTTGTTTTTTGTCTGATTGAATGAAACGTGCGGGGGTGGTAGCCTCTGCTGAGATCATGAAGCATGCCAAGTTTCAAGAAGGTCGGTGCACCCCAAATTCTTGAAAGCAAAACTCATGCCACGTGTAGGTGTTACACCACGGGGGCGGGGGGACGACTGCAGGGGTGGTGGCCCCTGGTGAGGCCACAAAGCCTGCCAGGTTTCAAGGAGATCGGTGCAGGGGTTTGGGGGGAACTGCACCTTAAGCTGCGGACAAGCAAAACTGGTGCCACGGGTGACCCTGCGTGTGGTAAGGTGCAGCGGGATGTCAGCTGCGGGGGTGGTGGCCCTGGCTGTGACACCTGCCTGCTGGCAAGGAGATCAGTGCAGGGGGGTCCTGGGGCCCTGCACCCCTAGCTGCTGACAGACAAAACTCGTGCCATGGGTGCTTGTGCAATTGTGTCTGTCTTGGGGCAGTTGATTGTCTGTATTGAGTCTTCCCTCTCCTTAGTCTGTGGTTTTGTAGGTGTTATCAAGTTAATGAGCAATGATTAACACCTACAAAACCACAAACTAAGGAGAAGAAAGACTCAATACAGACAATCAACTGCCCCAAGACAGACGCATCTTGTGGGTGTGTTTCTAATTCTCATGGGCCTCCTTCTCTTGGTCGCGGTGTCAGATTATCCCTGCGGAGATTGTCATCGGCTGCCTGGCCCAGGTCTCAAGGACATCGATGACCTCTTTGTTGGGGCCACGTGGAGGTGTGGCCGCTTCCAAGCTGAGTAGGGCGAACACCTCTGGAAGCTCATCATCACAAAAGGGGCTCGCTGGGCAGTGAACCAGCCTTTAAAACGGGGAGGTGGCCTCCAGTCAGCATCACCCCATCACACTAGTCAGCACACAGGCCACGTGGGTGAGAAGCAGTCGGTGTACGGTACTGTGGGAAGACGACCAGAAGCGGACGAGTTCGTCTGAAATGCAGACATGTTCCAGCAGCCCCTTTTCCAGACTCACTCCTCTTGAAAAGACCTTCCTCTGCTTTGAAAGTGGATCGTATGGAAGGAAAGTTGGTAGATTTTTAAAATTTTAAATCTAAATTGCATGGGGAGGGACTTCTCTGGCATCCTTTCATCATCTATGGGAGATGGTGCATGGGGTGGACTTGGGAAATTTGAAGCTAGAAAAATGTAAAAATTGCCTGGCGGGGAGGGAGGGAGAGGGGAACTTCCCTGTGCAGAAAAATCTCTGAATACGACAGTACGAGGAGCAGGGAGAAGGCGAGGAGATGGGGAGGAAAGGGAGCAATAGGGATCCTGTAGCTTGCCCACAGACTTTTTGTTCTCTGAACCTGCCCCCAGCGGGATGCCCGGAAGAGAAGACGTAGGCCCCCCTAGAGAAGAGTCGGACCTTCCTGGTCCGAGACGCGCTCTCCCCGGGGAGACTGGTGTGGACGGAGCCCCTCCCGCATCCATGCACTTGCCGCAGGACCGGCGCTGAGCTCTGGAAATGCGCCTGTACAAGTGGACAGGTGTGCTAGGAGGGGCTGGCAGCCCCTGTTCCCTGTTCCTTGTCCTCCTCCCATTGCCTGGAATAGGGTTGAAGTCAGACTGTCGTCCGGTATCACATTTCAGGCTTTACTCATAGGCTGATTTTTTCCCCTCCCCCTTTTAACACTTGATGTTGTTGGGCTGTTGAGTCGAGGGGTGGTGATGCCAGGGTGCACACCTTTCCCGTCAGGAAGGCTGGGATCACATTGCACAGATATTTCTGTCTGTGTCGTATCTGGTCGCTGCTCAGGGCCTTCCCATGCTTGTCTGCAGGCCTTCAGAGGCAGGGACGTGGGGGCAGGTGTAGCAGCCAGGACGCTCGACTGCGTCTCCATTCCCCGCTGCGTCTGCTCCCTCCGTCTGCACAGGGACCGTCAAACCCGCACAAAGGGCTGAACACTGGGGCCAAACAGCCATGCCTCCGTTGTGCGGAGCTGTCCCCCAGGGCTGGGCAACATCAAATACCTGGTCTTTTGCTTCTCGTGGTACAGGTGATCTCCTTTATTTGACCAACTAGTTTTTTGCAAAAAAAAAAAAATTCTTTGTTTGCAAGCTTTGGAGCACAAAGCAGCATCCATCCTTCTTGAGAGCGAGACCCGTTCCAAGCTGCTCCAGTCCGTTGGGCTTCCAGCTCCCAGGACTTTTCCAGTTCCTCTCAAGTGTTTTCTGAGGATGGATTATCGAGTGCTTTTCCTCCCTTTCCTTACCACCACCTTCAATATGCATCCAGTGAATATCCCAGTCACTAGGTTGGCCTCCCGGGGTCTGCAGCCAAGCCATGAACCCCCTCTGTGACCTGGAGGAGGTCCCGGTGCTGTTGACCTGTGCACCGTGGCATGAGACTCGCCTTCATTTTGAAATCCCCCGGTGGAAGGTACTATGGGGCCGACATCTTTCCAATTATTTTTCCGGGCAGCAGAAATAAAGCTAAGAACGCTTCTGGCAGTTGCTTCTCGGTCTGCAGATTGTTCGAGGGGCATTTTACACTGTGTACAAATAGCGTGAACCTCAGCTGTGTTGGCTGGTTTGCCCTGGCCACCTAGGTCCCACCGACACGGGTATTCATGTTCTCTGCTCCATCAAGAGGATCAAACCTGCTACCCCTTCTTGCTCTCTGTCTCCCAGCCTTTAATCCTCTGATGACTGATTAAGTTCTCTCTGTTTTACCTATTTCTTTTCTAAGCTTGAAAAACATCCTTATGTCACAGCCAATTCTTCCCTTTTACATCTGAGAGCAAGGCCAACACCCTGGCTCTTTCTACATAACTCACATTCTTGTGCTTTGGTATCATCTTGTGTTGTCGGCTGCTACATGCTCTCCGACACAACACGCGTCTTTCCTGTGGACAGGTGCCAGCACAGCAGAGAGCTCAGAGACGTCCGCAGGAGCCTGGAGGAGATCTTACCCCTACAATAAAAATGGTCCCTTTTTCAAGACTGATTTTCTGTGAGGAGCAGTCCCTAATGGTCTTTTGCACGGAGCATCCTTCTTTTAAAAGGCAGGAAATAGAAACGTGCATCCAAGGCTGAGGACGGGCTGAAAGGAGACAAGAATTTAGACATGAACATTTTCAAGCTCGCAGAGAACTAAAGAAGAAGGGTGCTTGTACCCAAAAGCTTGCAAAGAAGAATTTTTCCAACTATTTGAGTTGGTTTAATAAAATATATCGGATTTACCCGAAGAGCCTCATCTGCCTATGTCCTTAGACCAACATGGCTACAACCAACACCCCTGGGAGCTAATGAAACACTTAAATCCCTGCTTGGGCTCCTAGATGAAAGAGCCCTGATTTTTGGGATGCTGAGCAACACGTAACTGCTATGGGCTTTACTGGCACCAGTTTGTTAAAACCCAGTCCCTTTTAGCTATCCTGTGCAAGCAGAGAAAGCCAGGAATGACCCTCCAGGTTAAGTATCCAGGTTGTAGCCATATTGGTTTAGAGGAAAAAGCAATCAGGGCTCATAGTAGAGGTGATATCTTTTATTAGACCAACAAGATTTTTGCAAAAACAAATTCTTTACTTGCAAGCTTTCGGACACAAGCCCCCTGCACCAGGCATCGGAGAAAAGATTGTAAAAGTCCTCCTGGGTAGAAATGAAAGTGCAGGTTAGGCAACTTTATTCTACATACCACGGGGCAAGCTCCTTAGGCTGTATGGGGTTGGGAAGGATCTATTTATCAACTTCTTCCATGACAAGACCTGGGGTGTGTCTCAAATGTGTCCCATCCCTGTGGAAAGCAATTACATGGCTGGAATCATTAGAACTGGGAGCCACAGTCAACCAACTGGTTTTCATGGCTAATGAGGGCTCTTGAGGAGGTTACGTCATCGGGAAGGCGGAGAGCCTGGTCACCTACATATACCCGACCTGACTGGAGCTGCTCTGTGGGTTTTTCCTGAGCAATGCACTGAGGAGTCAGCCCAGGCTCAGTCGTTGTCCTCGCCATGAAGATAGCAGGTGTCTTTGTGCTCCTGGCTCTGGCCTTTCTCTGCTTCTTCTCAGGTCAGTCACTTTTGCTCTAATCTCTAGGGAAGGCTTCGCTTGACGCGTCAAAGCACACGGACACTTTGACCAAGCATCCTGTGCTTGCTCAGGAGGATGCAGATCTCTTCTAATTAGACAAGGGGCTTCCTTGAAAGGAACCAGAGCTGCATTAGAAAAAGACTGCCATAGTTGCTTGATTTCTATTAGCAAAACTGGTTCTGTGCATTGCACTGTGATGGGTGAATGGCTTTTTCTCTTGCAAGTAAATGAGAGAGAACATCCCTTTTCCACTGTAATGAAAAAAAAAATAATTTTGCAATGGATATTTTTGGGGGGCAAAGTGATCATGTTAATTTTAAAAAGCTATAATTTTTTTTCTGAAATTTTTGCTCAAGGAATTGAAGACTGGAACCAAAATTTTAAAACTTTTTTTGTGTGTGATCTCCTGAAAATGGGATTTTTTTTCCCTCTCCAGCTCCATCTGTGCCAAATGGATTTTTTACATAGTGTGTTGGGAACATTTGGGCACAAGCATGGACTTCGGGCCATGCTCCTGCAGCAATACACTCATTTATTATGAAGAAAATGTAACCAAGAGCTCCTTGTGGCTGCATGGTGATTGATGGACCATGCAAGGGGGGAAGATAACATGGGTGCACACACATACACAGAGCGAACTCTAATGGCTTTGCAGAGAGACGTGCATCAGATGTCCCCACTTGCCCGTCTCTTGGTTGGCTAACTCAGTTTAGGCACTGCAGTCAAAAGGGGCCTTGAGAGGGAACTTGAAGGATGGCTGAGGGCAGTGGCCTCCTGGGTGAGTCCAGTGCCCCATGTATTAGAGGATGCATGGAAGAAAGGACACAGTTTTACAAAAGTAATAAGGGTTGCTAGCAAGATGAGAGTTGCATGTGGCGGAGTGGAAAATTCTGCCCCATGAAAACCTGGATGCATTGCCATTTGCTAACCGCTCTCATTTCTTTGGTGCTGCATCTTGATTCAATGATATTTTGCCAGTTTGAGAGACTGCGTTGAATTGATGAACTGAAAACTTTCAGTTGCTCTCAAAGACTTTGTCGTCTCCTCATTTGTGTTTGTGTTTTGTTTTTCTCTCAGATGTTGCCAGCCAGAAATGGAGCAAGGTTAGTCCAGCTCTTCCTCTTCTTTCTCTGTGTTCTCTCAGCTATGGCGGTTCAGGTTTCCTAGCGGCAATGGGGAAAGACCATGGGAATTTAAAGGCAGATCAGGATGTTGCACAACGCCGCAGGATGGAGTAAATGTCTTGGGGTTCAGAGAGAGATTTTGGTGTTAGAGCCTGGGGTAGCTCACACCATTTATGGGTTGGATGCGGCTGCATCCTCCTCTGAATACATTTTGGAGATTCAGAGAATGGCTTTTGGATGCTTCTCAAAATGTATTTGGTCAAAAAACCTCATGAGATGCAGGTCAGAAATAGCAGGAGTTGTTTTTTTTAATAATATATGGGTTTTGGCCCCTGATCCAAAAGGATCTCCAGGAAGCTTGTGAGAATGTAAACTATACAACATTTAAAATAACTCTTTTGACTCTCGGGGCGGAAAAGCTACTCAATCCAGTTGCTGAGCAAAACAGCAGCTCCGCTCATATTTTAGCCAGACCAGTTTGGTTTTCCTCAGGAAAATCCCAATTTTATATACAGACCCCGAGGCGTATCGTGTGCCCTGGGTGGTGGCTGTGCTGGTAGCTGCTGCCCTTGCACCTCCTTGGCATCCGCACCCAGGCTAGAGCCCTGTCCCCCCTGCCCCCAGTTACACGACTATACAGATCAATTAAAACATCATTAGCTGGAGTATTGATCCCATGCAGTCTGTGTTGCTAGTTGCCCACTGGGTGAGGTAGTTGAAAAGTGATTCAGAGGGGAATATTAATGCCCTTCTCCCTGAACATTTAAAACTTTGCTGAGGTTCATCTCTTGGAACTGAATCGCTCGCTGGTGTGGAGAAGCCTTGCTGCCGCACTGCGGTACCCCCTGCTCGCCGCCGCGAGGCCTTTCCACTGCAACGGGTGGAAATTGTCCGGCAGACGAGCCGTTTGCATTATTCCCCTAACCACAGACATCCCTCTCCTAAGAGATGTAGTTCAAGAGATTGAGGAGGATCACTTTAAATACTTGGTGAGCCCTCCAGCTTATCTCCCATGTGCCAGTAGCCTGCCATATAGCCCTGTGTTTGTAGGTATATATGGTAGCAATGTTTTATACTGTTAGCCAGCCTGGCTGTTTGAACCCTGCCATTAGCCATGTCATGACTTTATTCTGCATGTTGTGGTAAAGTGTAATTCAGGGCAGGGATTAGGAGTCTAAACCAGGACAAAAGCGGCTTGTGACTGCTGGAGGGCAAAGACTTTGCAATGGTAATGACTCCCGTCAGCGAATGCTTCTTAAACCCCCAGCAAAGCGTCCCAGGGGGAAGCCCTCCATGCACCGTTCTCTTTATAGTTTTTTCAGGACCACTGCAAAGAATATCATGGCATCTCACGCACGGGGGCTTTTTACTGCAATAGAATTAACAGCCCTGTCCGTGGCCCGGATGGCAAAATGCACCTCAACCAGTGCCTCATGTGCAAAAAGCTGATGTGAGTATTAGAAATAAACAGCTGTAGCAGCGATAGAGCTGCTCTGCGAGAGCGTGTTTGCCATGCTCCTTCCCCACCTCGCTCCATCCCTGTGGCCTGCATTTCAGGCTGAGGAATACACTGCAGCCTTTGGCAGCTCCCACCTGCCCCCCAGCCCATCCCAGTCCAGAGCGGTCACTTGTTATGTCCCCAGTGCCATCATCAGACTCGTGAAACCGGTTATTTTTCATTGTCCAGCCAAAAATCCCCAAAGGGGAAAAGAGATAGCAGTATAAAGGCTTAGCTTCTGGTTTTTGCCCATGCGGCATTTAAGGGAAATTCTGCATTGAGATGATGTGGTGGAAAGGACTGGTGAACCAGGCACAGTGGGGAGAAAGGCGGCGTACCCGCAGTGGAAGGATGCTAAGCACGTTGTGGGTGCATCTACATGCGACGCTAACTGCACACCAGCCTAGTAACACTGCAGCAAAGACTGTGCCAGTAGCTAGCGGGAGTATTAGGCTGCTATGCAATTCCTGCCTGAAAAACCTGTGCGCCGGCAGTACCGTGCAGTGGCGCGCATTACTGTGCATTGATTTGGCACTTGGTTATCCAAGTACTAAACTTAAGGTGCAGTAATGAAGGTGTGGATGCACCCTGTGCATGTTCAGCTACCTTAAAGCCCTGGTTTTGCTTGAGTGAAGACTTGGGGGTTTGCAAGACTGGGCCCTTAATTATTATCCACTTCGGTTTTATGACCGAGGACCACCCTACTCTTGGCCATTCACTATTTCCATTTCTGGCTGCAGGGGAAGAGGACTCAGTAATGCAGGAAATGGTGGAGAAGGCAATGGGAAGGAAAGTGGAAGCGGAGACTCGTCAGGAAAGGTGAGGTGAATCGCAAGCCGTGCTGACCGGATCCCTGTGCGGACGATGTTATCAGGTTGGACTGACTGCAGTGGAGGGAAGTAGAGCAGTGGGAGACTTTAAGCCCCAAACTGCATGTGGCTTGGCAGGTCCAGGGCCCAAGTGGCTCTTCTGGGCTGTGCCGTTGGCCCGCAGCAGCGATCGGCCCGGGAGGTTCAAGGAGCGACGGTGTTTTCTGCTAGTGCCGAGAAACCGGAGTTCAAAACACCTCCAATCCTCGCCGATGGGCCCTTGCAAAGAGTTACTGGCCTGCCTGTGTCTGTGTCTTCTCTAGATCCTAATCTCTCGGAGAAGGTCTGGTGCCTTCTCCTTGTTTGAGAGGTACCAGCCAAGCTGTCAGCATCGGGTAAATGATGACCAGGGAGCTCTGATTAAGGCAGGCTGTAAGAACAAGTCTGCTCTAATTAGTTCTCATTTAACTCGATGGCCTCCTCGGCCGCTGAGAGTTACGGCAGAGATGAGGAAACATTTCCTAGCGCTCCAGGCGCGGAGGCAGAGCCCAGGAATTGAAGCCACTGCAACCAGACCAGAGCAGGCTGGATTAGCTCTGACCCCGCTACCGACCCGGGGTTTCTCTGACGCGGTTTTCCCCTGTCGCAGATCGACTGCAGTGAATACGAGGAACTGTTCAAGAGCGGACAGTTTTCCTGCACGAAGGAGAACGACCCCGTGCGAGATTCCTTCGGCAAGGAGCACAGCAACAAGTGCCTTCTGTGCGCGGCGCGGTAGTGAGTACAGAGAGACGGGGCCCCCGCCGGGCCCCGCAGCTGCACCCGCTGTTTGCTGCGACTGGTGGTGTGGGCCCCCGTGTGACGGGCAGCAGTGAAAAGCATGGGTGGTGTGGGGCTCGGCGGTGCCCTGCTCACGCTCACGCCTTTTCTTCTCTTCTCTTCCAGCAAAAAGGAGAACAGGCTGAACCCTACCCAGAACAACCGAAGGGAATTTGGGAGAGTCAAGGTGAGGCTCAGTGTTAAGCACGGGGGTCTGAGCATGAATGCTCTGCCTTTGCACCCAGGGTAGAAAGGAAAAAAAGACCACATCCATGCTTGCATTTTGCCCCACTGCTGCTGCGTCCGTACTGATTGCAAGGCAGGAGACCCAGGAGCTCCTTCTGGCTCCAGTCTCCTGTTTGTGGGCATTTGGGTTGCAAGTCCAGCTCCAAGGTGCAGTCTTGGCCCACAGTTCCCACCTGGCCAGGAAAGCAACCGGTTTTGTCCTGGTCATAGGTTAAGGGCTCATGGTCTGCTGCCTGGGAAGGGGCTGCTCCCCAGGCCTGAAGACGTAAATGGCTTGAAGGAACAAGATGGGAGAGACGCCCCTCGTCGGCAGACAGGAGGAGGGGGGAGCGCCTCACTGCTCTGACATTCAAGGATCCAAAACCTACATCGGCTGTTGGCATTTGCCTTTCCAAAGCTTTCCTTAGGATCTTCCTTATCTTTTGTTGCCATTTCCAGTAAATGGTGGAAGATAGGATGTCTGGGGTGACAGTTACTTTCTCCGCATTCTTGTATGAATTTATTGCTCAGTGGGAATGACCAGGCTGACAGCGGGTCCTAGCGGTGTTTCTCAAGCATCGCTCTGGGGACTGATCTGATAGAAAATGTCATCAATGGCTGGTGCAAAAGTCAGAGCCTGGCAATGAAATTTGCTAACGATGCCCTGTGCAGAGAAACGGCCGTTACCGAACTGGATTGGTGTGCAAGTCAGGAAGACCTGGATGACCCTGAGGACTGGAGGCACAGAAACGGGATGGTATCCAGCAACACAAATTGCCAGATCACAGCATTTGGGAGCCGTAGCAGGAATGCCTGCCATGGAGCTGGAAGCTTGTTAGTTGGAAATGATGGTGGGCTGCATTAGGCTGAGAGCTACTGATGCGGTGTCCTGAATGCAAGCTTTGCAAGCATCAGGCATGGTATTTCCGGTGGAGATGAGAAAATTTCAGTACCTTTGCACAGGAGCCTGGCAAGACCTCAGCTGGGATTCTCTGCAGAATTGCCCATATTTCAGAAAGATGACTTCCCTGGAGCAAGGACAGGAGACAGCTACTAGGAGGATGAGAGCCATGAAGAACCTGCCTCATGAGAGGAGACTAAAACTCCTTGGCTTGGCTAGTCTGGCCGAACAGGGGCTGAGATGTGACACATTGCTCTGCAGAAATACAGGCAGAGGGTCCATCAAGGAGGATGAAGCTTAAAGAAGCTGTGGGCCTGGGACCAAAAGGGGATAACCCTGCAACAAGTAAACTTCACCTGGACGTTGAGGGATTCTAGTCCTGAGCAGAGGAGTTTGCCTCGACTCTGGCCTCCCCCTGGCATGCACGGTCTATGTCCTGGCCTCCCCCGGCATGCCCGCTTTGAAAAGAAACTTAAGTAACGTATGAATGGGATCCTCTGACGCAGCTGCCTGCAATAGATTGGGTGACATAGGCCGTCCCTTCCCGAAGGAGGTTTGCAAAGCCTTGCCATCACCTTGCTGGGGCTGGACACGGCGTCAGGAGATCTGTGGCCTGGGTCTGACCTCGGTGGAGAGCTCTTCAGGACTGGCTTCTTCTTACTCCTACATCTCGGTACAATACCAGGCGCCCTGTTGGCCTGCGACCAGTAATGGAAAGCAATAATATTGCATGTGAGCGCTGATGAGTGGAGGGTGCGGCAGCATATTAATGCTAATTGCGCCTTGTTTTTCTGGATGGTTTCCCAGCTGATTTTTCCAGACAGCTCATCTTTTTTGTTTTAAGGGCCTCTTTGATTGTCAAGTCCGTGTGTGTGACTGGAATGGGGTTCAAAGGAGATGGAGATGGTGCATTTGCACTGGTTGCCTTTCAGCCCCTCACTTTTGCCTGAGTGAGTGGTGACAACCTGTAACCCAGTACACCCAGTCTACTTTAAAAATCTGCAAGGGAAAAGGGAAAGCTTTTCCATGACAGATCAAATGGGAATATCCTCAGGCTCATAAAAATTATGAGAGAGGAGGGACAGTTCAGTGATACCAGCCTGAGATCCAGGGACCCCGGGTCAAATCCTTGCTCTGCTACTGACTTCCAGTATGACCTTGGTCACGTCATGTATTCTTTGTTGTATCTAAGTCCAGCTCCACCAGGAAAACTGTGGTAGTGTCACCAGTTTACCTCTCCTGTATCTTGTGGGGGCAAATATGTTCAAGATTGTGAGGTGCTGATACCATGGTACAGGGGCAGGTGGATCTGGAAAGGCTGTGAGGAGATTAACTCCAGAATGGGCGCTCGACCCTTCTGAACCTGGGGACATCTGGAGGGAAGTTGTTCATCCCACCAAGGAGGCAAAACTCCAATTTAATTCATCAAGCTCTGTTACAGGAAGGTAAAAGGGGTGCGTTAACTCGCTATGGACAGGAGAACTAATTTTTGTCTAATTTAGACTCAGTCAGAAATGGGGGCGTTAACATCTAGAACAGATCAGAGGGTCTCAACTCCCACCCATTTGAAATCAAGTTAAAATGCTCGCTGGTGAAAGATCTACTGGCGTTACAGAAGGATTTAAAGGGCAGATGCTTTTTTACTCTTTTTTCACGCACCCTTCGTTGTGGCTTTCCGCACATATTCAAAGAGCGGTGCTGCTTGATCCCGACAGCTGCAGCACTTGGATTTCCAAGGTGGACGCATGACTGTGATTGGAAAACAAACTTTAAATTGATTTGTGCTCAAATACTTGTGTGATCATCCAGAAACCACACCCCATCACTTGTTCTTTGCAACTAATTGGCACAGTCATATGAGAAAACTTCCACTGGTAAATCCCTTTGGACGTTGTTGGGGCCACACTGTCAGAGCTTTCCCTGCGCCGAGATGTGCACTCCTGCATTGCAGGTGTTACTGAGGGCAGGGAAGTTACTTGAGGTGTGACATTCAAGTCAGAGGAAGATGTCACAAGCATGTTGTAATAGATAGATGCAGTTCCACGTCTTGCTGGAGCGATTGCAAAAGGTCTGCGAACCAAACAACGCCTGAGTCTTCGGAGAGTTTTGTTTGGTGTCTTAGGGCAGCCGGGCGCAGGTCACAATATGAAGAGGCTGAAGTCACTGGAAATGCGATCCACTGCGAAGAAGCCTAGCTGCTTCATTAGGACACGACAAGGCTAACGAGAGAAAACCCACCATCTCATGATGTGCTTTTCCCTTGGCAGGTTGACTGCAGTGAATATGAAGAAGCATTCAAGAGTGGGACACTTTCCTGCACACGGGAGTCGGACCCCATGTGGGATTCCTCTGGCAAGGAGCACAACAACAAGTGTGTCCTGTGCGCAGAGCGATTGTGAGTAGAGGTAGAGGTGGAGCCTCTGCTGAGACTGGCTGCTTGCACCCCCATGCGATGGGGAGCAGCAAAAAGCATGGGTGGTGTGGGGCTCTGCGGTGCCCTACTCACGCTCCCCCTCTTTTTTCTCTTCCAGCAAAAAGGAAAACGGGATGACCAACAAAGTTGAGGTGAGGCTCAATGTTAAGCCAGGGAGGTCCCAACATGAATGCTCTGCATTTGCATCCAGGGTAGAGAGGGAAAAAACCCACATCTGTGCTTGCATTTTGCCCAGCTGCTGCTGCAATCTCGCAGTGCAAAGCAGGTGACCCAGGTGCTCCTTCTGGCTCCAGTCTCCCATTTGTGGCACTGTGAGCTGCTGCCACATGCAGACTTGAACAGATTCATAGATTGTGAGTCTCAGAAGATCTTTGGGTCCAGCCCCCCGCACCAGGCAGGGATCACGTTCTGGGAGGGCAAAACCCTTGTTCCAAGGCACAGGCATGGCCCGCAGTTCCCATCAGGCCAGGAGACCAGCAGACAGAGTGCTGGCTCTAGGTCCCAAGGGTGTCATTGTCTGCTACTTGCAACGGGGCCAATGACACCCCTTTTCATGCCAGCCCCAGTCTGTCTCAATGGACAGACCATTGCAGGGGGGAGCCGCTGCATTGCAAGAGGACCATTGCAAGAGGATGCCTGCACTATTGTGTGGACAATGCTGTGCTGAAGGGATGGGCGGTCCCGGAGGCATCCCTCAGTATTGCTTTGGGATGCGGCTGATTTAATATTTTCAGTTACGGCATCGTGCAGGAAGGACAGGAAGACCGTGAACAGCAGTGTGATGTGGGGTGGGTGAGTGAGTAGGGCACCAGCTTAACAGAGGCACCAGTGTCATGTCCCTGCCCCTGGGAGGCCCGTTCCCCATGCGGTGTTGCTCTTGTGTCAGCAGCTGGGCACATGGGCAGTGCACTGCTGTGGTAGGAGCAACAGCCGGGTGTGCAGACCGTCTGAGGCTGTGGCAGCAGCAGAAATCACGGCTTGTTTTTTGAGTCCCTGGTGTAGGTAAGACTCCTGCGACACCCTCCTTGCAGCCCTCTGGTGCTCAGCAGCACCTCCCTGCCCCCTGCCCCCCAGGGTTTGTCCAGGCTCATTGTGCCTCTGCCCCTGTGGACTGGATTCACAGAAATGGGATAGCATTGAATATTGCATGTTGTTTGAGACCCATCAGATGAATTCCTGCTGTTGGACTGGAAAGTTCATCTATGCCAGGCCTGGGGTGTATTAGTCCATCAGGGGATGACTGAGAGCCACCGATGTGAGGCTGTCCAGAAAAAAAAGCCCCGTGCAATCCTTGGATGCACCGGGGTGGTACTTCCAGTGAGCACTACCCTGGTCAGCCCTCAGCAAGACTCCTCTACAGCATTCATGTCGGCCACGTTCAAGAAACAGGACTCTTGAGATGTTATCTACTAGGGTGGGCAGTGGCAAGGACAGGCCTTGCTTGGTGCAGTCTAGCACAACATACTCTGAGAGGGGATGCAGTTGCTCTCTATAGAGTAAAAGCAAAGTAGAGAGAAGCTGAAGAACAAGGCTGGTACAGGGAGAGATGGGTGTGACCTGGAAATGCGTTCACTGAGGCTGAACTGAGAAGAGGAGGTTTCTACCCAGCTGCAGGGGAATGAGCATCCAGCAGACCCTTCCAGGAGGTAGTGGCGAGGAGCTGACCACCTCCGACACAGGGTCTGGACTTGCTAAGCCAAGTGTTCCCATCTACTCCTACCTCTGTAGGATTTCTGAAGCTTTGTATTCAGCTCTGGGAAGACAGGGATTGCCGGGTCCCCAAGGTGCTGGTCCCCCCTTAGATGGCAGCTGCCAGTTTTCTTTCCGGTAGCAATCGTAAGGAGCTATTTGAGACTTGGTGTGATACTCGGGGAATGGCAGACCCAAGATCCTTACTTCAGAACCAGCCACATAGGTTGAAACTGGATTTAAAAGTAGCATTATAAAAACGATCACAGGGTGATGGGCCTGGACCACCTAGCATGGCTTGTGCGGATGAAAACCTTACCTCTCTAACCTCCTAGGATTCACTAAGTATGCTATGCAGTGTTTCCAAGCCATGCCTGAATCCTGCTGCTGTCCTCCAAACTGCCTTCGGTCCATGGGCTTTTACGTGCTTTGCTGGCTGTGTTGACACTGTGCCTGCATATGATAAAAACCTCTTGCTGCTTAATCCACTTGGGTGACATGGAGCGGTTTGGGATGGCTTCGTTGTTGTGATTTGCTCCACAAAGTAAATAATCTTTGATGTGATCTGCAGAAAGGTTGATTCTGCTTGTTGAAGAATGTTGGGACAGGAGCGAAGCCTTCATTACATGATTGGGCAGACCCGTGGCTTGCTTCCAGTAGTCCAGCTGGAGGATTATAGCGAGGCAGGCCCTACGAGAAAACTCCCAGCACGTGCACCACAGTCAGAGGTGTGCGCAAGTCCTGTGACTCATGCCTCAGCTCAGATATCTGATGCTGGCTGATATGGTACACCTTCTTCCTCCACCACACCCACGTGCTTTATGCATGATGCATTTGTTTTGGTTTAGCGCTTTCTGGCAAGAAACCCCAAATTTCTAAGAACCCGGCCAGCAAAACAGGGGAGACACCCTGAATGGAAATGCTCTTCTCTCTTCGGCAGGACGACTGCAGTGAATATCGGGTGCAAATCAGGAACGGTGGGAAACTCTTCTGCACGAGAGAGATCAATCCTGTTCGTGACGCCTCTGGCCGACAGCACCCCAACAAGTGTTACATGTGTGCAGACAGGTTGTGAGTATAAAGGCTTTTGCTTGAGTAACCAGGTAGAGCCACAACAACTTCATAGATTTCATAGACATTCGGGCTGGAAGGGACCTCGGGAGATCATCGAGTCCAGCCCCCCGCCCAAAGGGCAGGAAGTCAGCTGGGGTCACAGGATCCCAGCAAGATCAGCATCCAATTTGCAGCTCCCGCGCAGCCCCCTGCTCGTGAAGATGCTTCTCCCAGCCCGGGGGTTAGCAGGCAGTGGGACGTAGGGAGAAGCCCCCAAGGGAAGCAGGGCAGAGCAGCCCGGTTGCAGGTGTCGAAACAGGACAGAGGTGGTGTGGGCTAGCACATGTGGCCCAGCCCATCAGCCCTGCTTTCTCTCCTCTCCCTTTCTTCTAGCCAAAAAGAAGCTCAAAACAGCGGTCGGCCTCGTGTGACCTCGCAGTCAAGCCGGGTGAGGCTGAGCGTGGTATGGGGTGCTGCCTGGCCAGGCATTTCTGCCCCAAGGAGAGGGGCTAGCTTCGCTTCTTGCTGCATGGCAGGGCTGGCTGGGACATCTGGGTGGAGCATTGTGACGCTGGAAAAGGCCCAGACACCAACACAGAGGCTTTCTATGCAAACAAGGCAGTTCTGATGCAATCTGCCAGGAAGATTTCTTTAATCCAGACCAAAACTGGAGAGGGAAAGACTCGCCCCAGAGTGTCCCCAGGCTTCAGGGGGGCGGGAGGCTCTGATCCCAGCCCCATATCAGGCCAAGCAGGGCTGTGAAGGCAGGAGTCGGGGGAGTGCCCCAGCCCCTGTGAGCCCTGGCCACTGTGTCCTCTGCTCCCACCTTTTTTTTTTTAATTTACCAAAAAAATCCATAAATTTTTGCATTGCTGCAATGCAAAACAGATGCCCATTTGGGCACACAATGGATTTTATCTTCTGTTTCCCAGCCAGCTCTCCTGTACAGCTGCCAACATGCTGGGCCCATCTTCATTTACTTTTCAGAATCGGGTGTCAGGGGTGCTGCTCCCAGATTGCCTTTGGTAATAATGAGGGCCTAGGGCAGAGCCTGCTCCTAGTCCATCCCTCCTAGCAGACAGACACAAGACATGCTCTGCCTGGCAGCCACTCTCCTTGCAACCTGCCTCTGCTCCTTTTGCAGGATGGCTGTGGCGGTTCCGGGTCGCAGCAAGGAGAGGACAGGAGACCCTCCTGTCCGACCGCTCAGCCCGGCTACAGGGGGTGAGTATGGCCAGACTGTGCTACCTCCGAGTGATGCCAGCAGCAACAGGCCCCTGGGTAACAGACCGTGGCTGCCAGGACTCAGGGCCTTGCAAAATTGCTTCTGTTAGGATGCAAGCAGTCAGGCCTCTTCTAGGTGTAACTTGTTCATCCACAGAAAATTGTCTGCCCAGCCATGCTTCCCCGAGCACACTGGAAACAAGCATGAGCTGGCAGTTTCTATGCTCAGCCATGCCCAGGTCTGCCTCTCCAGCAAGCCCCATACCCAGGAAGTCCTGTGTCTCTACCCTCTCTCAAAATACCTGCTCCTGGTATCCCATCTTCGGCACACGCAGTCAGCAGCCAATATTTTAGCTCCTGCGTTTGCAGGCAAACATGCCCAGTTCATGGCTCAGCTCTGAGCTGACATGCTGTGGCCGGTCTTTCCTTCTCTGTCGCTGTCTGTACTGCGCAGAGGGGTGCGACGGCTCCTCGGACTAAGTCTGAAAGGGCACTTGGACACCGAGGAGGTCTGTGCTGGTGCTTGGGATCAAAGGCTTAGCTTGCTGGCTGCAGTGGCATGTTTCGAAGACAAGCGATAATAGACATCAGATCTAGCCAAGATTTTTCCAGTGAGCTGCCAAAGCCCCTTGGCCAGTCCCACACCCTTCACACATGAGATGGAGGAACAGAAAAGGCTCCAAACAAAGTTTTCTTTTATTGCCCAAGCAGTTGGCTTAGACATTTGAAAACAGTAGCAGAGTAGTCGGTGCCATAGGGGCAGGCAGGGAGCTGAAGAGCAGCTCCATAGCTCCTCAGCACCGCGTGGGCACCCAGCTTGGTTGCAACCTTTACCTACGACAAGCTCATTGTTTCCCTCTCCATTCCTGGCAGCTCACGGGATGTCCCAGCTCAGCCTGGCGGAGGTTGTGGACAAGACAACGAAGTCACCCAAGCAGAGAACAGAGAGGCTCAGGACAAGGAGGAGGTAACTCGAGCTTCGGGGGCTGGAATAAGTGTGAAGGACCAGTTGCAAGGTCTCTGGATAGTAGCAGTAGACTCAAAGGCTTGGAAGACGTCTCCTATGAAACAGCTTGAATAGACGGGGAGGAAGGAGGGGAGTAAGAGGGGACGCGACAAACACACCTGACACAGTGAATGCTCTAGACACGGGAGACCGCCGTTTCTGTCCTGGTCTGGTAACACAGCAATGTGCGGATGTTCAATGAGCACCAAAGGTGGCATATCCAGCACAGACATGCAACATAAGCCTGCAAAGGGTGGAGGATGGGATGCTGTTGAGGGCAAGAATTAAACCAGACTGGAGGTGTAGGCGGATAGCAGCACTCTCCAGTTCATGATGGTGATGGTGTTTGGAAGGTAGATTCAAATTCATGCTTGGGGGCAGACACGGGTCTTTGGGTAAATGCGATATCTTTGATTACACCAACTAAATAGTTGGAAAAATTGTTCTTTGCAAGCTTTCGGGTACAAATACCCTTCTCCAGACACAGGGAGAACGAACCGTGTCGCTTTATGCTTGGGGACTTCAGCTGGTCTCTGGCTCGTGGGCTCATCCGAGCAGGATGCGGCACCGCGAGGTAGCCCTACTGCATAGGGTCCCCGGGGACATGCCAGAGCACCTGGGATATGAATGCTGTCATGTCAGGCATGCACTAAACAGCACTGTGTGCAGCATGCGGGGATCTGCAAAGGTCAGTGCTGTCAGATTTAACTCCAGCGTTAATTATCCCAGAGAAGGAGCAAGCAGCACATTAATGGGATGAGCAGGTGATGCTAAACCGCGAGGTCGTGTGTTAACTGGCCTCAGCGCGGCCTTCGGCTGTTGCACTCCCCGGAGCAGTCGGCTGCCATATCAGAGGAGGAGAAGCCCCTTTCTGGCGACTCTGCTAATCCAGGCGAGTGGAGGAGAGTTGGCGGTGTGCCGCTTGGTGCCAGGGGAGCAAGGCTTACCCGGCTGCCCTGCACGGTCACTGCTCCTCCTGGGCAGGCTCGGGGATGGGGAGGGCCCCCTTAATTACCTCTCTTGTGTCACTCTGGGTGCCTGAGTGTGACAAAGATAATTGGACAGGGAAAGGTGTTGTGCACGGGGAGAGAGAAACGAGTGTCCTGGCCCTTGGTGGGCTGAAACATGCCTTCTCTGCTCCCGCGTCTGCAGGATCAGGGCCCGAGCCCATGCAACCCCCCTTTGGTGGGGGTGGGGTTGAGATAAAAGACTTGAGAGGAGGACCTGACTGACAGTTTTGCCGTGCCAATTCCCCACCCCTGCCATGCTTCATGCATGCTGCTCCCGGACGGACTTCCCATAAACACCCCTGCTTGTATGGATCGGAGGAAAAAGGAGGGCACACTTAATTGCTTCCTTTAATTACTGATGGCTGCTAATATATGTTTGCGAGTCTGAACTTGGCCAGGACAGGAAGGCCTGTGTCTGAGCTCCTGAGCAACATTGCTCTCTGGTGGCTAAATTTGCCTAAATCCAATAAGTGGGAGAGCTCGTTAGTGAATTACCCAATAAGCCAGCCCCTTTCCACCCATTAATCACAACATGAACGGGCTCCACGGGATCTTTTTCCGTTGTAAACAGCTGAGGAGAACAAATCTCAGCTCTACCTTGTTTGCAATCCATGCACTTGACCTGTCTGCACCCAACCGTGTCCCTACTTTCTGATTTAAGGGATGACATGTTTTAAGCCAAAGAACAACGCCTGACAAAGAGGAGGGCCCCTTGTACCAAGAAGTCAATGCCCAGGCTAAAATCCATGAAATTTTGGGGGGATTTGTGGCTTTTTTTTACAAATAAGCTAGCACTGGCCAGAAGCTCAGCATCGCTGATCAGTGGGACCCTCCAAGCCACAGCACACGAGCGCGCACGGCTGCTCTGCTCTCCAACCACTTCTGCGCTGAGGGGGTCTCATCTTACCTGGTAGGAGAGATGCCTCGAGCACTGCTGGGGTGGAAGGGAGTATCAGTCCCGGTGGTTTTGTTGTACCTGGAAAAGGAGATCTTCTTCCTGACCTTGAATGACTTTGTCTAGTGGAGCCTGGAGAGCCTACTACAGCCTCCCAATGGGAGGAACTTGACTCCACAGTGCATTTTATGGAGAGGGGGGATTTCTCCCCAGCTTGCTTCTTTGGCCTTTTGGCTACAGGCAAGTGAGACAAGGGGGCACCAAGACCCTCGGGGCTGGGGGCTCGCACACAGGATGCCTGCCGTGGATTTGGGAGGATCTGGAGCCCCAGGCTGAAGTCTGGGAGGGAGGAGACTTGCCGGCGGTAGCGCCGCGTGGACCTGAACGACTGGGCTCGCTCCGTGGCCGGCATTTGGACCGGATTGCACTCATTTGGCCTGAGACATGAAGTTAAAAACAAATAAGTAAGTGGGTCTCCTCGGAGGAAGAGCAGAGACTTTGAGGCCGCTTCATTTGCGATGGAGGAGTAACTTTCCTGGCAGGCAGCAGTAGGAGGCTGTTATCTTCTTGTGTGGACCGGACCTTCAGCAAGAGATGCAACGTGCATGGACCCAGGTTCAGGATGTCTTTTGAGCTGCGCGGCCTGCTGCTGCCGCCTGACACTTCTGCGTCCGCCTCTCACACCTGCTGCTTGAGCCGACAAGCGTGCATGGGTGTGCGCTTGAGACAGCACCGGGGTTTCAACCTTTCCTGGAGAGGAAAGATCTCACGTGCTGTTAAATCCCCCCACGCCGCCTTTAACGAGACAAGGGATGCGAGCCAGCTGCAAACCTCGTTTCCTTCTCGTTTCAGCTGCAATGCAATCGGCTGCTCCACGGTGTGAAAGGCGGAAGGATTTTCTGCCGGTCGCCTGCAGTCCCTGTTTGTGGCACCGATGGAAAAACCTACTCGAATAGATGTCAGCTGTGCTTTGCAGCGAGGTGAGGGTGACCAGCCCCAGCAGCATCTGCAGCCGAGCGTGTGCAGCAGACTGGGGATGGTGCCATGTTGTGGCTAGTAGCCCAGTGTGTCCTTGGTGTCTTGCACAACCCAGAGCATGCAAAGATACGCTAATGGCCATTCAGAGCCAGCAATGCCAGTTCAGATCCGGCGCACTCTTGGGACTCCCTCCTGCTCCGGCACGTGGAGGTTTCTGGGGTCACTGTACATGTTGTCGTGTCCTTGCAGGCAGCAGCAAAGCTTATGGAGGCTAATGAGGTTTCTCCTCTTGCTGCTGTGTGAGGGCCCACGCAGGGACCCCTCCTAACACCCCTCTCTCTTCTGCAGGCAGTCTGCAAGCTACCTTGCACTCAGGCACGTGGGGAAATGCACCGGCCCTGCGGAGACGATGGTAAGGCTGGGGGCAGGAGCTCCCCATTTCCAGTTAGACAAGGGGATGGGGATGGGGATGGGGATGGGGATGGTGTGCGGGGGCCCCGCTCTGCTACGTTGTGCTCAGACAGGCAGTGCAAAGGTGGCACCTGTCCCCACACACCGGTGGGGACGAGTGACAGCGAGATGTTGTTCGGGGAGGACACACAGCCATTGGGCTCACCTGGCTGCATTGTGATGGCCAGGAGGAAAACAGCCATCCCTGGCTCTAGCGTGGCAGCACCCCTGGCTGTTTTATGCAAGCCAGGGTCAGATGCGATGGAGGTTTAGAGACGAGCCGAAACCCCGTCTTCCCCCCTCAGTCTAATCGGCATGCTGCCGCTGGGGTCTCTGTGCATTCCTTGGGGCAAGGTTGGCGCATGTTGTGGCGGGGTGACTGTGTGGCTTTGCTAAGAGGTCAGACAATGGGTTTTTCTGGGATGGTTTGGACAGGGCTGATCCTGTCTCCAGCAGGCGGTGGACTAGGTGCGACCTCTGGAAGTCCCTTCCAGCCCTGCTCCTCTGCAATGCCTCTCCTAGCGCACGGTAGAGAGCCAGAGATGCTCCTCGACAACAGGTGCAACTTAAGCCTGAATTTTCCTGGACCTTCAAACCTAACCCTCTTCAGACCTAACACCAAAGGAAATCACTGTGCAGAAAGGAAGAGCCAGGCCAGTTGGGAGCAAAACCTGATACCCCGCTCTGTTCAGCCTCCCCCACAGTTTTCCAGGCTTGGCTGCCTGCCTGTTTGCAATGAGAGGTGGCTCTCGTGTCACTCCACAAATGCTGCTGGAAAGAACAAATCCTTGAGTAGTTCATATGGGGGGAAACAGCCACTGTGGCCAAATAAGATGGTCCTTTGGAGCTGCCCTGGCAGCTTGCACGACGGCAGGAGAATCAGTTGCCCGAGGTGCAGTCGCCCCTAACATGGGAGTGCTGCATGCAGGCTTCCCAGACTCGTTTCACTGCCGAACTGTCCCTGTTCATGTTGAATGTGTGGCTGGTGCCATCTAGCGTCCACTGCCCAGGCAGGACGTGAGAACGGGGCCTGCGTGAGCCAGAGCTATTCGGTAAATGGCACATTCAACCATTGGCTTTCTTTCCAAACTGGAGCAGAAAGTCAAAATGCTGCCTTGCAAAACCAAAGAGTGTTGGGACAGGAGCACCCGTACCCCCAGGCTGGTGATATCTGGGCCCAGCAGTCTGAGGCAGCCTCACTGAGAACGCATCGACTGCAAAACAGACATCGCAGCAGCTCAGCCCGCCTGGTATCCTCGAGTGCCAGGATCCCGGCATACTTCACAAATGCATGGGCCTTCACCTCTGCTGCACCCACCCCAGGGTGGGGAGCGCTGTCATCCCTCACTCAGGGGAAACTGAGGCACAGGAGGCAGAAGCAACCTTCCCACAGCCACACAGGGGCTGCTGTGTGCAACGGGCTGCCTAGTCGTGTGCTTTGGTGTCTACGTGAGCTGGGGAATGGCCTGTTTGGGGCTCGGTGCAGCGGGATGCAGGAGGAGCTCCGCATGGGGCTGGCTGGGAGTTACCGCTGGGCCAGCAGCCGTGCTGCTGCGACTACCTGGGCCAGGTGAGTCCAGGCGTGAGTTGGGTAGACAAATGGAGACAGCAGAGCCCCAAACCACTTCCGTAATCTCCAGGGCGGGTGGGTTCTTGCTCCTGAGCTGTTCCTGCAAACAAACATCCCTGAGGGAAGGAGCGCCCTATTTGCGGAAAACCAAGCAAGTCCCACAATGCCGCCTCCTGTGAGAAACATCCTGGGGAGAGTCGAAATCAAATCAAAGGAGAAGTAATTAGCCCTTGAAACTGCAGTCAAAGCCTCCACAAGATTGCACAAGCCCCATTTGTTCTCTTTGCTCAGCTGGGTGCTACTCTTTGAACTTAGTGCCATGCAAATAATGCGTCGGATCAGTCAGTTATAACCTCACGCTGCCCCATCATCCTGGGAAAACCCTTTGAGTCTTTCCAGTGCTTCTCTCATTTCCTGAGCTGATGAGCCCGAGTGATTCAGCTCACATGCCCTGCAGTGAGTCCCAGCCATGGCACTGGGTTGTCATGAGCCCCCTCCTCTTCTGGTGGAAAACTAGGTGTTTACTACGTGCTATGCAAGTAGGGCAGAAAGTTGCTAACTCTGCCTTTTGGTGTCAAGGAAGGTGCTGGCAGAAACGCAAACATGCATAGAGGGAGAAAATGAATGAACCCTACAAAGATTTGGGAAAAGATCAGAAGACCCTTGTCTCAGGGACGCTGCCACGTGGTCTGTGGGCCGTGTTGTACAATTGGCCACTCTCGGTGACGTGTGCATTCATCTCATTTCATTTCTGTCTTAACTCGTACACCAGAATTTGTATAGGGTGCATCCGTCTGGGACAGGGACCCTCCTTCTGCTTGTCCAGCGCCGTGCATGGTGAGGTTCTGGCTCATTTGTCTGACCCTGGGTTCACCCAAACATCTGGAGAAGACGGTTCACCCCCAGCCCCTTCAGCAGAGGATGCTGCTCTTCGCCTGGACTCTGCGATCATCACTGTCCCACGGGAGCACGACTGGGAGCTCGGGGTTTGGGTCTGATGCCAAACCAGTGACTAGTTGGTGCTGCAAATGATGAATTAGCTGTTGCTTTCTGCTTCTCCTTCAAATAGTGCTACCAACCCCAAGTTTCTTTCTCTTATTCTCAGACTTTCACGGCTTAAAAATCACTCCCATGACTGTCACTGGGCCATCTTTATGGTATTCAGCAGAGTAGGAAAACCTGGCCAGCCCCATGTTTCTTTCTGCACCTACCTGAAGCAATGGCAGTGTTTGCAGATTTGCAGCCAGGTGCCTTCAAGTCTCTTTCTGAAGTCTCTCTCCGTGCTGTTATTTCTGTCTACTCAAGTTTCCCAGGCAGAGAAAGCAGTAGAGAGTAAAAGGAAAAAGGCCAAAAAAGTGCTTCTTTTGCAGTCAGGTGGGGAGGGAGGGAGTGGGTGGGCAGCTGCTGTTAGCTTCAAGCTGAATTTGCGGCTGGCCATTTCCCCGTGTTCATGACCTGCAGCCCTGCATTGTGTTGAGCACTGTTGGCACAGAAGAGACATAGCCACAGAGATGCAGAAAGTGGTAGTCACCTTTCTTAAACCATCCCATCCCATCCTATCCCATCCCATGCTGATCCTGCCTCTTCCTGCAAGCCCCCATGGAAGGGATTTCAGAGCATCCCTTAGCACCTGCTCCGCAGTCCTGCTGCTCTCAGTTAGGAAGCAAATTACCCTCAAATCTAATCAGACACAGGAAAGAGCATGTGGCGCTCTGGCTCAGCTGGACTCATCTCCTTGCGTTCCTTTTCAGAAGTAATGGCGCCAGGATTGCCAGCACGTCCCACGCAAATGCGTGACAGGTACAGATAACCATGCTCAGCTGGGAGAGGAAGAGGGGGCAGAGAGCCACCCGCGTAGGACGTTTCAGACCAGAAGGGCTGCTGGTCTGATGGCTGGGTTTCACCCCGACACGTGGCCCAGATCTTCGATGAATTATTCATAGTTTCATAGTTGGTCGGGTCGGAAGGGACCTGAGCAGATCATCAAGGTCCTCCTTCCTCCCTTTTTTGAAGATGGGAGCCACACTGGCCCTCTTCCAGTCCTCTGGCCCCACACCAGAGCACCACGAGTGCTCGTACAGCTGTGCCGGGGTCCCGCAATGACAGCAGCTAATTCCCTCAGCACTCGGGGATGGAGATCATCCAGACCAGCTGATTTGAATACGTCCAGTCCCTCCAGCCGTTCCCTGACTAGATCCACCCTGACCCTTGGCCTGGGTGCGCCTCCCCTGGGGCCTGAGGGGGTCCTGGTGCGGGGGCTGATCTGGTCCCTGCTCGGGAAAATGGAGGCAAAGAAGTCGTTAAATAGGTTAGCTTTGTCATCTGGTGTGACAACCAAATTTCCTAGCGTGTCCTGCAGGGGCCCCACGTTACCCGGTACCTTCTTTTTACCCCCGATGTATTTAAAAAAGGACTTCTTGTTGTCCTTGATCTGGGTCACTCGTCCCAGTCTCATCTCCACCCTGGCCTCCCTGACCCCCCCTGCAGCCCCGAGCAACCGCAGTGTAGTCCTCCCTGGGGATGGCCCCTCCCTGCCATCGGGTGTGCGCCTCTCTTGTAGCTAGGAGACGTTCCCGGATGCTGTTGGTGAGCCATGGGGGCTTTGTGTCCTCCTGCTCCCTTTGATCCTCATTGGGATTACCTCCCTTTGGGCTTGGAGGATCGTCTCCTTAAGACGCGACCACT